CCTTATTTATGCAGGTGGTTCCAGTTCTTTTGAGTAGGTCCGAGGTGGACATTCAGCAGGGCCATAAAACTTTGCAGATGCGCCTGAGGCAGTTATGGTGAAAACTTGATAGCTTTTTCATGTCAACCTTGGTGACCCTCCAGCCTTCATTCCCATACAGTAAAATGGACTTTACATTGCTGTTATAAATTTTGACTTTAGTGCTGATGTTATACTAGCTGGATTTCCATATGGGCAGACTTTTTCACTTACGATATAATTATTCTATTTCCCAAAGCATTTATATTTAATACATTGACGAAACACCGCAAGAAAAATGTAAATCAGGCTTGTAATTACTAGTAACTCAAACGCAATATTGATCACTGTAAAAATTCGAATCGTCATCAAATTCAAAATTCAAACGATCTCGTTGAATTTCAATCGAAAATAAACTCTGTGTTTAGAAAAACAAAAACAACAACATATTAGAGTGCAAAAAAAGTTAGCAGCAAAGATCGAGAAATGCATGTGGGAAAGCCATGAGTGAACTCGAGGAAAATTATGCTAAAACATCGAGAAAATGTGCCATTTTAAAGGGCACCCTTAAAAATAATGTCTGCGATTGTGTGAACTTAATAACGTGCAAACAAGGAACAAAGTTCATGGTCCACCAAGGAAACTTAGCGAGACAGAGACTCCTTCGATCTCATATGAGCAGGTTTCTAAAGTTATTGTTCATACATGAGTTGTCGAACACACTACATAGTTTGTAATTTCATCCAGCTCCTTTCAGTCACAATTCAAGACAAATAAAAGTCACAAATAAAGATAATATAGCAAATTTCTAAATTATCTTGTCGAAATCATTTCTTTCAGGGTTTTCCCCCTAGAAAAGACGAAAGAATTTCATAATGTCGGGAACGAGAAGTCTTTTTTTTTTATTATTATTTATTGGGAACGGAAAGTCTTTATCGTAATGCTTCGCCTCGGTTGACAATGAGCTCTTCGGGTCGCTAAAACTATATGTCCACCTCTGTTGGCGTGAACATTTGTATTATTATACAATCATGGAAATCATCCAGGTCATCGTTAGAAAGATTTTCTGAGGCAAATTTAATCTCCACTCAAGGCTATCTTGAAGGATTGCAGGAAATTGACACTTTTCGATTCATATTTATGAATTGATCGGGATTCAGGTACCATAGTGTATTCCTAAAGATACGCAAAAAAAAACGAACTTTCACGTGGGATATCATGCAAACATAGTCAATGGTCTCAGACACTGATTCCTTTTATCTTTCAATTTTTCAAGACGCGGCAAACCCTGCTCATGACCGGAGACGTCGTCGAGATGCAGGTGCAATTCCTCTTAACGCATTCTATTTATTTCTAACGCGTGTGGTCGGCGCCTTTGGCACCGTTTGTTTTGTCGCGTCTCACAACTTAATGTCCAAGCTGACTTTGTTTTGGTTGTAAGTGAACTACGTACAGCTCATGGAAGTATTTTGTCCACTGCAGAGTTTGCAAAACGGAATACCCTGCAAAATTTGAATTCTTTATTTTATAACGAGACATTGGGCGCAAAAATAAAAACCATAATTGTAATTCAACAAGTTTATGTAACGTGTTAGTCTGCTTGCCAGTCGCCTAGTTAAAAACGCGATATCCATTGATGTCGGCTTTGATAACTTCGGACAAGTAGGATGTGCGCTGGCCGTACATTTGCAATTATTGTATTTGTTTGACAAATTGTACAGTACGGTCATTCTATAACAATCGATTGGTCATTTTTTTTTCACAGTCTTACTATTCTTGCAGATATTCTTCAATTGTTATAGGTGCTATGGATTTACATAACTACAACTTGACCTGTGTTAAACCCAAACCATGCGTGCAAGGCAACCGTCGTTCTACACACGCTTACTCGACGAATACCGTACTCTACAGTAGACATTTTTCGTTCTCCACCAAAAATATTAATTGTGTCTGTGTCAGTGTCGTATTTGATTTCACATGTTTGATTCGATCTTGTTTATGGTGGACATTATTACTACGCGTATGTACCAATTTTATGTACCAATTTCATATGGCCGTGTGATCCACCATATTTTTTCAACGGTCGTTCTATAAATTTCTGATTGTATTTATTCTTCTTTTAACATCATAAAAACAAAAATGATGCACTTGTACATGAAACAATAGGTAATGAACTGTAAATGCGGGCGGTTGCGCTGTCAGGCGAGCGAGCAAGCATGCGAGCGGATACTTCCGGATTTGCGCAGTCGAAAAAAAGCAGAAATTGACCGGTCGAATTGAACAAAACGATCGAAATCCGGAAGCGGGCGGGAGGTCAAGGACCAAATGAGTACTGTATTCATGAACTACAACTGACAGGTATTCCCGTCCAGAAGCGCGTGTTGAAATAATTTCAGCTTCCAAATTGGTTCAAATTTGCATGAGAAAGGACACGACTATTGCACATGTTTTATGGCGTGAAGTTTTAAATAGATGCAAATGAGCACGCTCCCATAGAGTTAACCATGGCGATTTTCGCTCACTGAAAAAACGTCTACATCCAAAAAAACTAAACACAAATCAACCATTTCTATTGACTAAAATGCACTAGTTCTTCTTAAATTTAGTATATTTTAATGTCAACACATCATGTTACCCGGAATTGTTATTTTTATTTACGAAATGGTGGGTCTGTATTACATATATAGGTACTACATGTGGACCTCTTTCAGATTTGTTCATTTTGTAATGATATATTTAGTTCTCTAATTTTGATGAATATTTTTGGTAAAAAGTGATATTTTCGACTTCTTTTTAAAAACCGCAAGTTCAATTGCTTTGATATTACATACATAGGTACTACATGTGGACCTCTCTCAGATGTGTTCATTTTATGATGATATCTTCAATTCTTTAATTTTGATGAATATTTTTGTCATTGTTGGTAAAAAGTGATATTTTTGACTTCTTGTTAAAAACTGCAAGTCCGATTGCTTTGATACTATACATATTGTTCATTTTCTAAAGATGTCTTCCGTTCTTTAATTGAAATGTGCATTGCTAACAGCGGAGCTATCTCAGCCGATAGGCTGCTTGTTTTCTTTCTTATTGTTAAAAACTGCAAGTCCAATTGCTTTGATATTACATATATAGGTACTACATGTGAATCTCTCTCAGATTTGTTCATTTTGTAATGATATCTTCAATTCTCTAATTTTGATGAATATTTTTGTCTTTTTTTGGTAAAAAGTGATATTTTCGACTTATTGTTAAAAACCGCAAGTCCAATTGCTTTGATATTACATATATAGGCACTACATGTGGTCCTCTCTAAGATTTGTTCATTTCATGATGATATCTTCAACTCTCTAATTTTGATGAATATTTTTGTCTTTTTTGGTAAAATGTGATATTTTTGACTTCTTGTTAAAAACCACCAGTCCGATTGCTTTTATATTGCATATATATGTACTACATGTGGATCTCTCTCAGATTTGTTCATTTTGTAATGATATTTTTAATTCTCTAATTTTGGTGAATATTTTTGTAATTTTTGGTAAAAAGTGATATTTTCTACTTCTTGTTGAAAACTGCAAGTCTTGATATTACATATATAGGTACTACATGTGGACCTCTCTCAGATGTGGTTATTTTGTGATGATATCTTCAATTCTCTAATTTTGATGAATATTTTTTGTGATTTTTGGTAAAATGTGATATTTTCGAGTTCTTGTTAAAAACCACAAGTTAAATTGCTTTGATATTACATATATAGGTGTACTACATGTGGACCTCTCTCAGATGTGTTGATTTCGTGATATCTTCAATTCTCTAATTTTGATGAATATTTTTGTGATTTTTGGTAAAATGTGATATTTTTGACTTCTTGTTAAAAACCACCAGTCCGATTGCTTTTATATTGCATATATAGGTACTACATGTGGACCTCTCTCAGATTTGTTCATTTTGTAATGATATCTTTAATTCTCAAATTTTGGTGAATATTTTTGTCATTTTTGGTAAAAAGTGATATTTTCGAATTCTTGTTAAAAGTCGCAAGATTTGATATTACATATATAGGTACTACATGTGGACCTCTCTCAGATGTGGTTATTTCGTGATGATATCTTCAATTATCTAATTTTGATGATAATTTTTGTCATTTTTGGTGAAAAGTAATATTTTGGAATTCTTGTTAAAAACAGCAAGTCTACATATTGTTCATTTTTAATGATATCTTTTGTTCTTTAATTGAAATGTGCATTGCTAACAGTGGAGCTATCTCAGCTAAGAGGCTGCTTGTTACCTTTTCAACTTCTTCTTGGAAACTACAAGTCTGAATGCTTTGATACTTGGTGTATATGTACCTTGGGTAGACCCCTCTTTGATTTGTTCATTTCATGATGATAACTTCAATCTTTAATTTTGATGAATATTTTTGAATGACAACATTTTTCATCTAATTTGCACATTTTATTATTGCGTTCTCCTTGCAGACGAATTACTAGTATTCAACTTTGACCTTTCATTTATACTTGTTTGCCAATATATTTAAAACAGAAACTTAATAAATAAGAACAAAGACCATTTATTATTCAATGTCTGTTACTAATTCACACGTTAAAAGCAAATGTTACACATTCACTAGCCAACACGTCTAAGGATTATCGCTATTATTACTGCAGTTCACGCTCAGCGCGACAGCAATTTTGCCAAGTAAAAAATACAGAAAACAATTCATCAGTTTTCAGACACTGTCATCATTTCCTATCTGACATCAAAGAACAAAAAGCCCTGGCAATATTTGATGTATTCAGAGCACATCGATGTGAAGATTTTTTAAAACAAACTACACGACAACAATATCGCCACTGTGTTTGTTCCGGCCTGTTGTACGGATCGGCTGCAACTTCTTGATCTTGCCGTCAACAAAAGCTTTTCAAGGACTTGCTGAAATCAATCGTGATACACTGACTGTATTTTGAAGGAACTGCAGACGGGAGCTGATATTTCCGATGTCAAATTCAATCTTCATCTTTCGGAATTAAAACCTCTTCGTGCTAAATAGTTAGTTGAAGCCTTGCAGTCTTTTGAAAATCTCCGGGAATTGTGTACACAGGGCTTCCAACTTGCTTTCATTACAGATCGACTGAAGCCACTTCACGAACATGTGGAATACTAGTAAGTTGACAATCACATGAATATTGCTGTTGTTCTAAAATGTCTCCTTTTTAAAACCAGAATTCAGATGAATACATAACATTTCCATTCACTAGTCTTGTGGTACTAGTATAACATTCAGAAGAAAAGTGTCATGTCTGAACTTGTTTTTATAAATTTTACGGTGCTGTCATGCTGAGGAGTTTGATTTCAGACAAGTATTTTTCAAGTTTTTAACTACTATTTGTGTTAAAAAATTTATTGACTGTAAATACATTTTTTTAACAATAAAATAAAAACATTAAATGAATACTACCACCCCAGTACTTTGTTTTTCACTGCTTGAATAACGTGAATGTAAGTGGTGTTTGTGTACATCAGCGGTAATACAAAAATGCAGCACCCCCAGCGGCATTAAAATAAATAACTTCTCAATTTTAATTTTAGCGCAGAGCGCTACCTTAGCGAATTGCCCGAAAATTTAACTGCACGAATAATTTCCCGTTCTACAGTATCTCTTTCTGAAATATGTAGTGGCCCTAAAAAAAGGTTGGTTCGTCTTCTAGGTACTATGCTTGATCTAACCACAGTTTTTTCCATTTTCAGTTCTCCAGATGAAAAATTAGACAACCTATCCAAGGATCTACAAGAGATGTGTATATCAGGCATGAAACATCATTGTGAATCAGCACGCCCACAGACGGTGTGTACTTTAACCTTGTTTTGATGAACTTCATCAATAATACAGCATTTATTAGTCCCCGTTCGGACGCAGTCCAAAAACGGGGACTTATGTTTTGCCCTGTGTGCGTCCGTGCGTCCGTCCGTCCGTGATCACCTGT